ATCTAGCCATTTTTTTTTGGGGGGGGGTCTGTTGATTCAGGTAACCTTCATGTTTAAACTGAACCCTTTATTCAATCTACAGGGATAGATTGTTCTTGTTCTACTATCCATGCCTAGGGATATTTTGTTCATTTGTTAGTACTACTTGGTTATTGTTAGTCCTGTTTCCACTGAATCTTAGTTTATACTACCTGACCCAGAGATTGAACACACAATTACTATGTCACCAAATTCACAAACTAATGCTTTAATCCTCTAGATTATTGTCTGATGACCACCCTCTTCTTCTTTATACATGATCAGCCATACCTGATTTTCATGTCTTACCTCTCTTTTCTGATACTTTAATATAACATTTTACTGTTGATATATTCTTTACTCTTTTAAAATGAATTAATTCACAACAGAGACATGAGCTTCAAAAAAGATTCTTTGCTTTGAATTCATATTTTAGAATTTCAAAGAATATCTTGCCATAAAATATTGTTAAAATTCTGCCCTCAGAATGTTTGGAATAGTGAAAATAATTTTTATAAAAACTCAAGAAATGCCATCTTCAATTTTTATATAGAAAATGCAAAAATCATTTTATGACAATTATATCTGAATCATAATTATAAGAAAAAAATGTCTTTAGACATAAGTGTGTGTTTGTAATATAAAAATCTTAGTATATACAATAGAAATTCTTTTTATTAGATTTGCTAAAATTTATTTAGAGTTTTACATTCACTTTCTAAAACATTTTGCCTTTTTATTTCTTATAGATCAATAAGACATGATTAAAATGAATGAATTAATTTTTTATCTATATTGTTGCTGGTTCTATTTGACTCTTAAAGTTCTTTTCATTTCTTGTCATATTATTGAACTCTTCATTGTATCTCATATTTTTAGTTTTTTACTACATGATTCTTTAGATTGTTAGTCTCTACATTTCATTGGAATACTTAATTTGGCCATAACATTTTAATCTCTGTGTGACAATCTTCTTTCATCTACCATGACCTTTCAGGACATGGCTATCCACAACTTCTTTTGTTGCTCTAAGTAATCTTTACTCCTTTGCCACCTCTCTTATTTTTTGTGGTCTTTGTTCTGCTGTCTAGCCACTCAAACTTGTCAAGTAGGTTACTCACTTTTGCTTCGTGTTTCTTAGAACACACCCAAGCTGAGTGTGTGTGTTTTTTTTTTCCTATTCATTGCATCAATTATGATATTCAGTTTCTTTCTACAAAGCTTCACTTCTCTTTCTACATTTTTCTTTATAGTTCAATTCTTGCTTATCTGAAGAAAAATTAAAGATTTTTTTTTTTTTAAACGTTTAACTTCTGAAAGTCTTTATTCATAAATGATCAATAAAAAAGACTTTTATTAAATACTTGGAAAATATTGTATCAATATTAACACACTTTCTATCTTCATAATTGTTGTAGATGACACCAGTAGTATTATTTAAATTGAATAAAAATGGATATGTGTGGCATCAAAGGTAAAGAGGTAGAGTAGCTAAGGCAGCTATAAGACACAGGTAGGATTTAACTGTGTGTGTGTGTGTGTGAAATGATTTGTAGATATGAGAAACATGGAGCTCTCTAACTCCCAGGTGGCAACTTGTCTTGCTTTTTCTTGGACAACAGTATTAAGGCTGTACCAAGAATGTGAATTCCAAACACACACATCAGTAGCATTTGAAAACTGCAGTCATTCCTAAGTGATGCAAGAATGGGACTGCCAGAAGTTGACAGAGAAAGTAACCATCCAACAAAGGGAATCATTTGATCAAGTCACATCTCAATTCAATGTTAGTGCTATTCAACATACTGTACAGCACACATTGCATGCCATAATGCTTTGTAGTCATCAACCATCATTAGTGTCATATTGACACCATTGTATTGGTTACTATACCAAAAGACCTTGCCATTGGACTCTGAAAGATTGGACTGTGTCACCTGGTTACCTCTTTCAGGTAGATTCTAAATTTCATATGTAGAGGAAGCTTCTTGAGGCTATTGATCCAACCTGTTCGCAAGATATTGTACAAGCTGGTGGGTTTGTGGGGTATGTTTTGCTGTAGTTTACAAGGACCATTAGAGAAAATAGTCTTGACAGGTGTAACATATGCAGATCTTGTTGCAGACTATTAACAGTTCTTTTATGCTTGCCATATTTCCTAGTGGTGATGATTTGTTTGTGCAACTCTACATTGCATGTAGGTGACATGAATCTAGTTCCAGGAACATTCGGCTGGCTTCCAAGTACTCCACTGGCCCCTATGTTGACCAGATTTAAACTCTATTGAACATGTATAGAACATATTGTAGACCCACCCCACTAAGTTTCATGCAGTTTCACCCAACAAACATGAGAATTATAGACAATTCAGAAACATGCTCAAATAGATACATCAATGTAATGACTCAAGCACCTTGTAAAGTTTCATGCCATATTGTGTAGCTCTATATTATTTTTAATTTTTTGGCACTTCAGTTTAAAATCTATATATAAAGTTGTAGCTTTTTTGTTTGTTATTGAACTTAGGGTTTGGAAGATAGACCATACATATTCTGAAACTACATTAACAAGAGTACTTGAGTCATCCTGGGTATGACGATAAACTACATCTGCATCCTTGGTAAGGCGATAAACTACATCCAACAGCAAGGCCTCTGATCAGGACATTTTGAGAAGTGTAGAACCACCTCTTAATTGCTGGTGTTTCCAGGTCCCCAGCTATGGGCAAATAGTTAACCCCCAAACTGGGGTCAAAACACCATGAAAGTGTAAAAATAGGTTTTAATACCAGAAATATTTTTTGTAAATTTTTACATTATTTTACCAGCAATAAATTTTTGAAGAAAGAAATATTACCAAAAATAGATTTTTGAAGGAAAAAATATTACCAGCAACAAAAATTTTGTCAGCATTAAATAACCCATTGAGGTTGATATACTATAAAACAAAACAAACCAAACCAAACCAGAGTACTTGGGTAAGTATGTTTCATTTTGATCAAAGGGGGTCCCCCAGGGCACCCCCCCACCACTGAATTTTTTTTTTTCCTCTTTGATATAAATTAAATTAAAATTTGAACAAGGGAATGATTACTAGGGTATTTGGATAAGTATATTTCATTTTGATCCAAGTGGATCCCCCTCTCTCTCTCTCTCTCACACACACACACACACACACACACACACACACACACACACACACACACTGAAAATTTTTTTCTCCCTTTAATTTAAATCAAATTTAAAGTTGAACAAGGGAATGACTCCTATCCAAAATATAAAAGGAGAAAGCCAGAAGATGGAGGTCACATCAGCAAGATTATTGAGTAATATTGAAATGCATCATTTTTCTCATAACAATGATTCAAAATCAATCATCCTTTTCTTACAAAAAAAAATGTGTGACATGGGACAAGGCATGGGTAATTTGGCTAGTGTGTGTGTGTGTGTGTATATATATATATATATATATATATATATATATATATATATTAATATTTATATAGCTTTTACCAGATAAAGTAGTTTTGAAATTGATTATTTATTTGTAATTTTCTTTTTTTTTTTTTTTTTTTTTTTATTTGTTTCACCTTTTAATATATACTTTGATGTTTTTATTTTAGCAATAGTTGAAATTATTTTCTTTTTTTCTCCTTTTATTTGTAACTCGGATCCAAATGTTATATATAGTTGTCTTTCAGAAAACTGACATTAGATCTATTTAGTCAAACATTAGATAACTTTCTAGATCCTTAATTGTCAAAAAGAAAGCATTAGTTAATTGAATTGAATTAAATAATTACTTGTGAATGTGCATTTTTGTATACTAAGTGCATATTCAAATATACAGCATCATCATTTTCAATAAAATTTATCCTACTCTTAAATGTATAGAATAAACTTATGTCAATGAAATTAAGCAAGTGATCGGTATTTACGCAAAAATTTGAATTGAGTAGTTTTTAGTCTTTTCATTAATTGTATCTTAAATTTTTTATTAATTTTTTTTTCTTGTATATTTTCTGCTTTCTATGGGAAATCAGATGAAAATTTTACTGACACCTTTGAGTAGGCGAGGTCTTTCAGCAATTTTTTTTTTTTTTTTTTTTTTTTTTTTTGTGTGTATGTGTGAATCAAGTATTGATTAGCAAAAAAAATGTTTTTCACAATTGTGTTCATTCATTGTTTCAGTATTGTCTCATGGGTCAAGTATGTTCATAAAATCTCCGGATAATAGACTTAATTCAAAATTTTAACATGATCTAAAAATTTTTTTTTTTTTTTTTTTTTTAATTTGTTAAATTATAATTCACTTTATATGGTTCTTATCAGGTACTGAGTAGGAAGATTTTTGAATTTTTAGATGAAGTATTTCATGAGCTGGTTCAGAAAAATTTTCAGCCAAACCCAATTCCCAAAATCAGGCCAAAAGTTAGATGATTATTTTTTATTTTTTCAGGTTAGGAACTTCTCAACACCCCCATCTCCATAATTATTTTTTATGATAAAAAATAAAATGAAAGAAAACAAAATAAATAAATGGAGTTTGGGAAAACAAGAGGGGAAATAATTGGCTGCATCTTAAATGTAGAATATTACAGTTTTTGTTTTATATATGCTTTATAAGATGTTGATAGTTTTAAATTAAATTATTTCATACTTAAGGAACTGAATGTGTATTTATTTATTTTTTTTTTTTTTTTTGTGCAAATATTTTTGTGTTAAGGTAAATTTTCAGATTTTACTTTACCATATATAAAAGAAGTTTTAAAATGTTTTGAGATTTTACAAATGTTTATTTGTAAGGTTTTTGTTTATTTTTGAAATATTGCTTTATGAACTTTCTAAGTCCAAAATATTTTCTTATCTAATCAGGTCACTAGCATCCAGTGGAATTATAAAGCCACGGACGATGTGGTCAAGGTTGAAGTCTGGGATGTAGTTGACAAAAGTAAGAAACGAAAGAAGATTGAAGGACTTAAAATGGACAATGTAGAGCAGGTAAAAAGAGTTTCTTTCCTCCATAGACTTTTTTCCCTTTCTTTGTCTTGGAAGAATTATCAGAATTAAATTATTCCACTGTTTTTAATTTTCAATTTGTCTTTTCTGTATTTTCAGCTCTTACTAAAATAACCGATGTATGTCATTGTAGTGTGTGATTGCTACAGCTACAAGGCTATAAACTAAAGTCTAAATCTAGATATGTAAATATACAAGATGATTAGCACAACATAAAAGTAACTCTGAAAATCATTTTATTCCATCAACAAAGAAGTAGCTTTGTATTTAAGTGTTTGTTCACATTAGCCCCTCAGAATATGAAATCGTAGAGAAACTTATGTGCACACCTTATTTGTTAATGTTAGTTATGTACAAGCATCTTTCTTTTTCTTTCAAGATTTATCTTCATTTTTATACAAAGTTGAATCAATAAGTCTGATAAGTGACATCACTGATTTGCATGCCTTAACCTACCATATATGCAAATTACTTAATGAAAATACAGATATCAAATGAACATTGAGGTTTTTCAGTTTGCTATGGTACCGTTATGTCTCTTGGTGACACGAAAGTGTGAGGATTGCAAGCTTATTAAACACTATCATAAAAACCTGAAGTTAGACTAATATAAGACAATTGTCAGTTTTTAACTTATATTGTGCAGACCAACAAAATTCCCTTAAAAAAATGTTGTTTGGTAACTTTAGTTTTGATTTTTTTGACTTAGTAGCCAATTCTTATATTTACTTTCAGAAAGTCATTTTATTGTTTTAGGATGACATAGAATTTTAGAAACTATCTTTTACAGTGTTTTACAACACCTAATCCCAAAATAACTGACTAAACTTTTCATATTATATTTTAAGACTTTTATTTTTCTCCCCAGCAACTCCATTTCCCAGAGCAACAGAGATGAATAATGTACCACTTTTTCTATCAAAAGTTAAATGATTTGCATATCCATGCTGATTTATTTATTTATTTTTTTTGTGAGAGATTTCATGTGATAAGGGAAGATTTTTGTCATTGAATGATCTTTTGATTAAAAAAAGTAAATAGGTGTTTGATGATTCTTATATTTTGTATTTTCTTTTTTTCTCTCTCTCTCTCTTCAGAATGTCGATCATTGTCTGGATGCAGAGTTTGTGGATGTTTATAAAGGTACAAATGGTGTGATCATGGTGTATGATATTACTAAACAATGGTGAGTGTTATGTTTTATATGAACCTTTTTCAAGTGTAAAATATTTATTGTGGCAGAAAAATTGTCTCGGACTTTAAATTACAATAGATTATAACAAATGATAGAGGTTGAATTTATAATGAATTAAGTTTTTACAACAAGGAAAAATGGTCCGTGGTTAGAATGCTTTTGTTGCAGTGGGAAGCGGAAATAGCCAACAAGTAATCAGCAGCATTCCTCTACCTTCATAAAAATGAATTTGCTCTACTTCAGTCAAGCACAAGATAGTTCGAAAGCAAACTGAGGTCTCTTTCTAGAGGACAAACAAATTCATGGTATGATTTAAGTTAGTTCAAAGTTTGTCCTGAATTTACAAGAGTTTCATTAAGACTGAAGGTTTGATCTTGATGATTCCAATCTCATATTTATGGTGGTTTGTTCAAACTTTTAAAACCAGTTATTCTGGTGTTTGTCCCACTGGCAGAAAAATTTAATCTCAAACTCATATTGGAGTTTGACGGTACAAATCCAAACCAGCCTATTGTAGAATGGGTTAAAAAGGTGGAGTTGGTATACCATCTTTGTTATGTGAAAAAAAGATAGAAAATCGTGTCTCCCATGCATGCTTCCATGATTTGCATGTGCAGCGGGTAAAGAGAAAAAGGGATGATTTCTTTAGCATAAAAGAATATGGTTTTTGCCACTGATTCATTTGTAGTGTATGGTGTACTGTTTGTGCCTTGAAGAGTCTGTAAATTTCTACTTATCAGAGAAGCTTTCTGTTTCATTTGGTGGCATGACTGAATACACCTTGTGGCTGGGTTACCAGATTGTGTCAAGTAAGTGCTTTGAGCCTCCTATCAGATGGATGGTATGAGCATTAGCCTGAGCTAGAGCAATATTAAAGTAGGAATCCCAAACTTTTTATTTTTAATATATCTGAAAGCTTTTCATGTACACATATAGAGCTTGAAAAAATGGTACAAAATTTATCTTGCAAGCACAATTAGTGACTGTGTTATGACCATTCAAAGTTAATTGGATTTTCCATCTTAAGTATGATTGAACCAGAAGCCCATTTTAACAAAGTATGTGAAGATGCAGGCTTCAAACAAGTGAAAAATCATAAATGCAATGTCATTAAATCATAAAAGAAAGCTAATACTAATGAAATTAATAATTATTAGATAAGGACTGCTTAAATAACAGGCGGAAAAATCACATATTCAATCCTAAAATCAGCGCAAAAATAACAAAGGCAGGCAAATTTGATTATTCATATGAATTTAATCTATCAAACGCCATCAGAATTAATAGTTTCTACCCTTAGTTGGAGCTAGAAACTTGGTTATTGCACTGGTTGGAGATGTAATATCAGTGACTTGGCCAATATAAAAACTAAAATCGTAGTATGCAGCAACCAATTGGTCTTGTTGCTCGTATCTGAAGATCACTTGAGATGTTTCTTCTTCACAACTAACTGAGTTAGTGACTGGTTCTTCAAGTTCCTATGGTGTAATTTCAATGGCAGTGAGTTCAACTACAAAAAAATGCATTATAAGAATCTAAAAAGGCTCTAAACTCATCTTCTTTAATAGCTAAAATTTTCTTGACTGTGTTAAATGTTTGTTGAACTTGATTCATTAATCTGGACTGTTTCATCCTTCTATTAAGATAGTTTGCAGAACCATGCAAAAGCCTGCAGGTAAAAACATAAAATTCTTGTATCAATAGGAAAGAAAAGAGTGTTCCTTAATAAAGATTTTTTTTTTTTGTTTGTTTGTTAAATCATCCTCTAAACTTGTGGGCTTTTTGCCTATTTAAGAAGTGCTTTCCTCATTTACTTCATGGTCCTTAAAACCATAAAGGTTACAGAAGTTAGGCTAACTAAAATAGGTGAGACCTCGCCAGAACTGCACTCAGATTACTTGATGTTGCTGTCAACCTATTAAGCCACATACACTGATTTCCACGTTCTTTTCATCACACAGTGTTTTTAACTGCATCAACAACCATTTTGTTCATTACAAGGAATATGGGGTCTTCTTTGGCCTACCTCTTCCACTTACAAGAAAACAATCTCTCAGGAAGTTTAGTTGATCATCCTCTGAACAGAAGATTTTTATAATAAGTACATGTAAATGTAAAAACCTAAAGTAATCTCCATGCATGGAAAACACTAAAAAAACAGACATTCACGATAGTGCGAAAAGAAGAAATAAAAAATTCTTTTTACAAAAGAAGAAATGTCTTTTATTTTATAAATTTAGGCTTTTGCTTCATAAAGAAAAAATACAACAATTGAATATTTATGTAAAAATAAATGAACTGAAAATTTTAAAATTTACATTCTTTTTTTCAAATGGCAACAAATGAATTGTTGAATTTAGAGGTGTTCAAATTTACTTATGTTGAAAAGTAAAAATTACCATAAAATAAAAAAGTAATACTTTCAATGAAAAAGTAATACTTTTTTTTTTTTTTTTTTTTTTTTTGTAAGAAATAAATTTGGTCAAAAAGTAACAAATATTTTCCAATGCTAAAAGTAAAAGAAATATCTTCCAAGAAATACCCATTTAAAATAAAAAAAAATGTTTAATTTTTTAATTTAATTTTTTTGCAGACCCACAATAGTAGTTCAACTGAAAAATATATCCTTTTATTTTATATAAAATGTATTGAGTCTAATTACAAATAATTTAAAAATAAATGTTCAATTTTCAGTTTAATTCGTGAAATTAGGAGCTAATCCCAAAAATTAGTTAATTATTAAATAAAATAAACATTTTTAAAATTACAATATTTTACGTATACAAATGCGATATTTAAAAAAAATATAGTATAAATATATACATACACACATTTTAAAATTGCAACACTTTCATTTTTTATTTACACAAATTTTCCCTTTTTTTTTTTTTTTTTTTTTTTTTTCCACTGGACAAATATAAGTGTGTAAAATTTAATTAAAACATGTATTTCTTGTTTATTTTTTAAAACCTAATTAGTTACACAATAAGTAATTTACTTTATACAACTTTACAATATACATAAGAAATATAAGAATAAGATTTAAACTCACCTAGAAACTGAAATCTCCAGCGATGAAAAAAGTTGGGTTTAAAAAGCTGTGGGCATGTCAGTCAGGGTGGCCAGCAAATTAAAATTTCGGAAACGCATTTTATAATTGTTTGCTTTTTGAGTTCTTTGAATGTAGTGATATGAAACTAACTGATTATTAAAGATGAAACATTGCTTTATAAGAAGGTGTAATTTTCGTTTTTTAAGAAATTTCTCTGGTATTTCATCCATTGAAGTTTTCAAGTTAGAAATTTTTTGTAAAAAATAACATCAAATTTTAGTTTAAACCCACCAAAATGATGAGTGTCCTTTTTAAGATGGGACCCAAGTGCAACCAATTTCAAAACATAAGTATAAAATTCTCTGATTTTAAAATGCAGAAAAGAAGCGCCTGTCACTGAAACATGAACTCATTTAAAGAGACATGGAATAAAAACTAATTATCAAACAAGAAAAAGAATTTTATCGTTATAAAGAGAAAATATTAAATTTTTCTTTACATACTAATTTTATCCAAATAACTTAAAAAATACTTGAAATATTGCCAATTGAACTTGAAGGAAATTTCACTATTTTGACCCAGTTTTGCAGCATAAACTAGTCTAATTAAGGGATGATTCTTTGGGAGTAGGACTGATGGTAGAGATTGTGAAACTAGTGTTATATGAACATATCATGAAAAAGCACTAAAATAAGGTGCTATGCCTGCAACAAGTTCAACCACATAGTAAAGTTCTACCTTGCTCAACATAGACCTATAGATTGAGTGCAAAGGTCTTGTAGAAATGTGATGTGCTGCTTTCAGTGTCAAGAGTTAGCTCATCTGTTGTGGGATTACCCAGGAAATGGTATGAAGGATGAGACTACAGATGTACAAATTGGTAAAACTCACAGTTGAAACCTTTCATGTGGGGCAAAAGGTCATACTAATAGACTTTGATTTCTCTTGCATTAGTATCAATAGAACACTTTGCATGACATGGGAAAGTAAAGTTGTAGATGTAATAATCAGTGGCAGTGAAATACATGTGGAACCGGAGTGAGTGACCGAGAGACTATTTTGATAAATGTTTTGGTAATACATGGAAAACTTTGGATTTGATTTATTAGTTGGCATTGACACAATCAAAGCATTGGGCATGATGTTCATTTCGTTGTCATGTGAGATATGGTTCCAAAGGAAATAGTTGCCTGTATGTGCAACACTCTGTGTTGAATCTTTCACACAGAATTCCATTGGCAATGAACTGAGTAAACAACATCATGGAAGTGGGTAGAAGATCATGCATTTACCAACCTACAAAACCACACAATGGAGTACCCCATGTCTGCAAAGGGCAGGAGTGGATAAAATGGAGCAGTCTCACAAAGTGGTGATGAAATCTGATGACCAAAACCTCTTGAGAGCACTCCAGAAAGCTAGAGAACCTTTTGCGCTGAAAAGACTGCCTCCAAGCTGTTGATGTTATGGTCAGAACCCAGTAGAGAATATAGCAAGGAAAAGTGACCACGATTAGCATACATTTAATGGGGTGGGTGGTGGAAATAGCTGTTTACGGTAAGCACATTCAAGGTATGATTTGTGAATTTCTTTTACCGAATTTACAACAGTTGTTTTTTTTTTTTTTTTTTTTTTGCACCTTATGGTTTGATTATGACAGTTCAAAGTTTGTGTTTGCAGTGGTTTACATAAACTTTTAAAATGGTATTTTAGAAATTTAAGTTTTAAACAATAAGTAATGAGTTTATAAAGGATATTTTTTCAAATTTTCTTTTTTATATTTTTTCTGTTTGGTACAGGGTCACAATAGTGGGCATTTAGTGGGGATTGAGCTCATTACACTTGATGAAGATGTGAACCTAAACTGCTTAATATTTACTGTTGAATAGATGACCCTTTCAAACATTCTTGTTTTAGAAAACTTATATAACATATGTCCTATAATAATTGTTACATTTGCATACATATTTCATGAATTAAATGTAAGTTATTATGGGACAAAGGTAGTATAAATCATGTATTACTTAGTTAAAATTACTGCTTTGATCATTTCTGTTTTAATTTTTATTACCTTATTTAAGAGTCACTTGGACTTTTTTTTTTTTTTTTTATAAGTTATTCTTAAAGTGACATTTACTAAACTTAGTGTAGCATAAATGTGTAGAAAGATAGTACTGTGAATTCTGACCACTCTTGAAAATCTGCTCTCAAAATCCTGGTTTTCATCAGAGCTTGAACATTGACAAATGTAGTGGGGGGGGGTCTATTTCAACAAACCATAACAGACCTTCTACTTGAGTCTTGTAGTTGGCTTTGATAGCGTTTTTTACTCAGTGCCAATTTTTTTATTCCAGGACATTTAGTTACATTGAACGAGAAATTGTTAAAATTCCGTGCCACATCCCAGTCTTGGTACTTGGGAACCACAGAGACATGGGCCATCATCGGACTGTGCTGGAAGACAAAGCTGTCTACTTTGTGGATAGTTTACAACGGTAAGAAACAATATTAGTCAAACAAGAAGACCCAATACTGTTAACAAATTAATATTGAATATTGTTGAATAAGTGGGCATTTTTAAGTGAAATTGACAAAATTCTCAACAACAACAATAATAAAAATAAAATGAACCGAATAAAATAATACATAAAATGAACACAAATCAAAGCAAGGCAACTATAAGACAATAGCAAAGTAAAGCAAAGACAGTAAAAAAGAAAAAAAAACTTTGTTCAAACACAAACGGGATTCAGTCAAGTGATTATAGTCTTCTGACTTCAAGAAAAGAAAGATAAAATATGTGAATAGGAGCAAGAATTGTTCATTTTTATTGATGGAAAAGAAATCCCAGCATCTAGGATTTATCTATAAATTTGGAGAGTAGGGATTCTTAGCAGTCATTCCTTAGATTGAACAGCTTACAGCTCCATCTCATTGAAACATGGATTCTTGTATGATCACTGGTTAATCAATATTGAGCCTGCTTAGTACCTAGTTGGATGACTGCTTGGAAATACCAGATGCTGTAAGCTTGGATGTATGGTTGGTGTAATGGATAACAGCTCAGAAATGGAAATTGGACGGATGAGTTCCAATTCCAGTAAAGTTGGTTATATTCATTATTAACCTTGGGAAATCATCCTCTTCTCCCCTCCAGTTATGGGTTAAATAGTAGGACTTGTATCAGTAAATCATTATTATCTCAAAAAAATTCTTACAATTTAAAAATAATTTCTAGCTTTAAATAACCTGCAAAAGCTAGAAAAGGTGTAAACAAACCAACAAATCAATCTTAAATTAAACGCACTTAAACAACGTTAGATTGAACCCACTACCTCAATCGAATGAATGAGTGCACTCCTTACTCTCCCCCTTACTCACCTCTTTGAGGTTAATATATATGACCAAAAATACATATGAATATTACTTTTTTTTTATTTTTTTTAAATTTTATTTTTGTAATTCGCTTGAGGATGAAATGGAACTAATGTTTTTAATTTAATTACAAAATTAAATTTGAAGTTTTTAGCTTCCATTTTTGAAACATGGTTATTACTGTGTAGCAAAAAAAATCATTTTAATTCAGTTAATTTATATAATATTCTATATCTATATATATATATATATATATATAATTAACTGATTTAAAAACTTCAAATTTAATTATATTAAAGTGAATTAGATTTAATTATATTAAAGTGAATTCAAAAAATTCACTTGAAGATGAAACAGAACTAAAGGTTTTAATTTAATTATATAATTAAATTTGAAGTTTTTAGCTTCAGTTTTTGAAACATAATTACTGTGTAGCAAAGAAACCATATTTTAAATCAGTTAATTTATAATATTTATGCTCTGTAAATTTGCATTGAGCACTGTTTTGTAAAATAAAAAAACATCAATAAGAACACGGATTATATGTCTTGTTGTTCTTTTTTTTTATATATATATATATATATATATATATATATATATATATATATATATATTGGGGGTTGGTGTGAGAGAAAGATAGTGAGTGGTGAGAAAATATTAGAGATGAGAAAGACAGGCTGGATATCAAGAGACAAAAGACTGTTTGTATGCCATACAATACTAATATTTGCATCTAATTTAACTCCAACTTATAATACACAGTGTTTAATATTAAAGTATTACATTGGTATTAAATGGATTGGGAGTTGGGTGAGCTTATAAACCATGAAATGCAATGTATATCCATCTACTATAATCTGAAAACTTGTGGGGAAATAATGAAAAAATATTGTTTACTTATGCTATAGAGATGCCTGATGTCCCATTTTTCCAGCCCTAACCAGATTTTAATCCATTTAGATTAATTTTCAGTGTCGATAACTGATTCTAAATAAGTTGGCTTTTTTTCTTTTTTTTTTTTCTTTTTTTCAGGGGGAAAGATGCAGCACAAGTACGTTATGCTGAGTCCTCGATGCGGAATGGATTTGGCCTGAAATACCTCCACAAATTTTTTAACTTACCATTTCTGCAGTTACAAGTGAGTAATTGGTCTTTGTTAATTTTCTTCGCTTTTAAATATTTAATATGGTTGATGAGTATACACATTCGTGCATATGTTTTTTTTTTGTTTGTTTTTTTTAATATTTATAAAGCTTATTGTAACAAAAAGAAGGAAGATTGTGCTACACCAAACTTCCAAATGGAAGAACCTATCCATATCTCTCTATGTGCCATAGCTATTAAGGATATGGATGGTCATGGCTCTCTACAATTTCCTTTCTAGTATTTTTCTAATAATGCTTGCTATTTAATGATGCTTCTGTCTAGTACTTGTCCCACTATAATGATCCCATTTGTCCCATCACCCATTTGTTCAAAGTTGTTAAATAAGTTTCTGGACATACAATTCTGCACATCACTGCACCAGCTGTGATGACATCCAAAGTATATGTGAATACACCAATACTCGCTATGTTCCACAGATTCGTCTCAGTATTAGGGCAGTGAACTCTGTCAACAAGACTATAGCAACAAATGCTTTTCAAGATGCTTGGATTGGAAAGTAGCAAAAAAAAATATCTCACTTAATTGACAATATCTTCCTTCTGCTACAAGAAGTCCAACTTCTTCTGACTTCTCACTAAATTCCAGCCACGGAAAAAAAATCCCTACACACTCACAGCCTTGTCATTTCACTGACTACCTCATTATATGGATATTGGCTGACAGACCCAACACCCCTTTCTGTTCACTCGTGTTCCACCAACCGGAAAGGTGGGACCACCCAGACAGGTTTTGGATGGTCAGTCTTTCAAAGTGCCCTACTTTTATGGCTATCTAAAAACACTAATAAAATTTTAAGTTTGACAATTCAAAGGTGGGCTAGAGATAGGATTCCTGAAGAATCCTGGTCATTAAATTGAATTAAAAGGAAAAAGAATTTATGTATCCATCTCCTAAGGATGTGTGAGAAATTGTGTTGCTACAGGTTGATGCTCTCCTTTCTTTCTATTGCCTTCTCTGTACCCTGTGAGTGTCAAATTCTTTAAGCCTTCCTGTCACAGAATTTATAGATTCACTTCGTCAGAATGCTCACTGATAATAAATTTTAAGATTTAATTTGAGTTTTCAATATTGTATAATTCCAAATGATTTTTTTTGTAGTTCAGACTCTATTGAATCTCAAATAAAAGGTTGGTTTCTATTGTCTTCCATCTTGTCGGATAACAATTTATGGAATTAGATTTTCTCTCTTTTTGTTGTGACCCCTTTAGTTTGTGGATGATCATGGTCCTTAACAGCTTCCCATTTTTTGTGGCTTTCGGCAATATTTTCTCAATTATAGTGACTTTCCATCCATTTGCACAATTTTTTCAAGTAGGTTACTTGCTTCCCTCTGTTTCTCTTGTATTTGATTTGCTTTGTGTTATATTCTCCAAAACTTCTCTCCTCATTAAGTATCTCCAAAAATTTCATCTTTCTCTTTCAGATTGTTTTAACAGTTTCTTTGTAGTTCCTGTTCTAAAAACTTCCTAATTTGACATATGCTCTGATAAATCTGTATTGCAGTCACATCAAGTTTTTCTTTTTGTGATGAAATTGTCCAGTACATACGGCTATATATTAGATATTAAATAGCAGTCAAGCACTTTTTTGTTTCTGATATATTTTTTTCATCCTTTTAATACTTTAATTAGTTTCTAAAAAGCATCTTTCACTATTCTGAAGTACATTCAGATTTCTATGTCTAATTTTGTCATTTTTCACTGCACTGCCTATAAGGTTGAAAAGGTAAATTGAAATTATAATTAATTTTTTATCTTTTGAAATGAATTTCATAAACTTTAAGAATAGATTGCATAATTTGAAAATAACTTTTTTTATGAAGTAAGCAATGTTTCATCTGGTAGAGACTGGATGTTACTGTAAAAAAATAAAAAATAGATTCAGTTTCATTTTTTGAAATGAATAGACAGGAAATTTACACTATTTACATTGTTTGAACTGTTGCCATATTCACAATGTCTTCAGGTGATGTATGTTGGAATTTTAGTCCACGGTGGGGGTAGATTGTTTCATGCTCTTTCTGGATATCTTAGATCTGGATATTCCCTTAGTAACTGAACACTGTTTACTTGTTCTGCTGTGGCCAGGTATTGAACTCACAACTCTTTGGTTCACTGGATTACTTTAACCAACACTTTTATCCAGTGGACCATGTGACCTTGGGGAATTCATTTTTGGAACTTGTAAACTTAGTGTCTTAGTAACAATTTTTTTACCACTGCTCATATTAACAATTTTTTTATTGTTGTTTTTCTCTAGCTTTCTGTATTACTAGTTCCCATATTGTATTCATGTCTATGCTTGGCTGGCTTAGGAGATTTTTTTTGTAGCCTAGCATATGTGCTGATTTTTTAAGTTTTCATATCTTTCAGTGATGTTCTTTTCCCTTCATATATGGTCAGCCATGCCTGTTTGGGTTTTTTTTTTTTTTGTTTTTTGTCCAACCCTGGGTCCCAAGCTATGGTGTCTGGGGAAAGTCAATTTTCATGAAGACACTTCCAGAAAAGATGCCATAGGAGTAAGGATGAGATGACTTCCCTGTCCACTTAGTGGCAGTGGCCGACAATCTGTAGTCGTTTTTGCTTGAGCTTAAGAGAGATTGGTCTCGGTTCTCTGTAGATTGTGTTAAGTGTTGCATGAGATCTTCAACTGATGTTCTGGATTTTTCTTAGATTTATATATGCTCCATCCAAATCTACTTAGAAAAATCCATGGTACTTGAAAAACATAGTAAGTGTATAATAAGTGGGTCAAAAGTGTTCACTTGTTACTGCATAATCTAACAAACGCATCTGACATCTGCTAATCTGAACAGATTAACTAATCAGGAACAAGCGATGCTGGATAACAGAATTTGGATTTGTCAACATTATTTTTTATCAACTTGAAAACTTTTCAGTTTTATTTTTGCATATGATTTGAAATAAATTAACTTTATAAAATTTTTGAAGGAATTTGTTACTTTTACTGTAAATATTTTAGAAGGAAAACATTTTATTTGAAAACTCGAAAAAAAAACATAGCCTTGTTATGAACAACAGCATATTTAGCTAAAGACATTTCCTTACTGATTCCTATTTCTTTTATAATGCTTATTTCTTGTTCTTTAGAGAGTGACCCTGCTGAAACAGTTGGAAATTAACTCTGAAGACATTCGTTCCACAATTGAGGAATTGAATATACATGAAGAATCAGAAGAACAGAATTATGACATGTGAGTCAAACATATTTTTGATTTCTTTTGACATTTTCTACCCTAAATAGTTAAGAAAAAAAAAGATGACATTTGTAATACAGGATTTTAGTTGACAATCAGACTCTACACATGCTCAAAAAAATGCAGTGTATATGTGTAAAACACTTTTATTGCTTGAATCTATGCATAATTTATCATATGTGTGTGTATATTTCCAGTTAAGACTCAGAAAATACATAGAGAATTTACCAGAATTTTAATTTTTTTCAAAAGTGAGCAAAATTTCTGCCAAAAAATGATCAATAGATAACTAGAGCTATAATATTAAATTAAATTATGGATAAGACACAAAAACTTTCTTTTATTTTTTTTTTCAAATATATATATATATATATATATATATATATATATATATATATATATGAGTGGGAAAATGTGTGACAAAATGGCTAGATTATATACCCAAAACAAAAAACAATTTTTAATTCCCAGCATCCCTCATTCGTGCACATGTCGTCACACCAATGTAACAAATTTAGTCCAATGAAGTCCTAAAGGACAAAACATGTCACACAAAATTTTTTTCCACTTCATCATACATTTTTTTCCCCCCCAATATTGTTCTTGATATATAAAAATTTAGCTTTTTTTACACACACACACATATATACATATATATAGTCATCCACAAAACAGACTGTTTCGCTGTATCACAGCTCATCAGTGTGGCTAGTTATCCAATTGCTTCAGGCCAGGACCGAAACCTGACCAATTTGGTATCGGTCAGAGATTCTAATGCCTAGGCTATCTATGCCTGGCAGAGAGAAAGGTTAATTTTTGCATATTTATTTTTTCATAAAAACACCAGTCACTTAGAGAACTCAATCGCTAGAAGAGTCTTGCCTTATCAGCAGTAATAGTGACTGTTTATAAATTCTTTTCTTAGGGGAAGAGTGTTCAATATCAGAGGTAGAGTATTTATAGGATGTCAAGATTTTGATCTGAGGATCACATTAATGCCTGAAACTGTGCTGATCCTATGTTTTGATATCAGAGTTCTTTTTCTCCTTGACTCATTGCCAACCAAGGCTAGAGTGTCTTTCTTGTTTTTTAACTGGTGGGAGAAGATCAAGATTTATATCCTTTCCCAAGGAAAAAAAGCAAAAGTGAATGCCATGGCTTCTCTAGAATTATAAGCAAACCGACATTCTGTTACAGTAACCACTATATGCATAACTGACACATATATATATATATATATATATATATATATATTCATTAGTTAAGAATTTTTATGACATTGACACATTGTTTCTTCTGTTTTTTTGCTTCTTCTGTTTTTTTCTCTCTCTCTCTCTCTCTCTTTTTTTTCTCTCTCTGTTTGTCTTCTACGTTTGTCTTTTTTTCCTTTGATTATTGGTTCTTGTTTTTTATAGTTTCTTTTTTTTTTTTCTTTTCTTTTCTTTCTAGATTTATTGATAACTTGAGTGCCCAAAGACGACAGCAGCAGGAAAAATTAGCCGAAAAAGCCATTGAAGAAGCCCGACAGAAACAAGCCGAGTTAGCTGCTGCTAATGCTGTTACTAATGGTACTGTTTCCCAACCAGGTAAGTCTTTGATAATCCTATTCTAAAACTATGCTTCCCTCCACTCCTTAAATTCACTATTATTACCTGAAAAGCCAATCTAGTTGTATACTTAGATTCATGCAGTTGTGGTACCAAGGAAGAGAGCTTATTAGAATAACCATCATGAAAATATTTATAGAAAAGGCACAGGGAAGCAATGAAGCAGAGATGCCATGTTAGGACCAATAACATTACAGACCCTTCTTTGGATTTTATTGAGAATCTTGAGATATATAAATGGAACACCTGACCAGATATGGCAGCAATATTGAATAGTAGATTAATAAATGTGAAAGATGAATTCTGATTAGAAAAATTACCTGGCACAACACAGTGAACCAACTTTCCCAGCAGTAGACTGAACAATTGATTCAATATAATTGCTCCATATCAGCAGAAAATGTGCATCTTGAATGTGAGTTATTGAAACTAGAAAAAATTGAACAGCATGCTTTTATTTATTTATTTATTTATTTTTTTCCAAGTGTGATGAATTTCACCCTTTAGGACTTCATCAGACTAAGTTTATTTTTATGGGGATGTGACTACACATGCACAAGAACAAAAGAGATGCTGAAAATTTTAAATCGAAAAATCTTTTTGATGTGTTTTGGGTATCTAATCTTGCTGATTCTCATTTAAATTTGTTTTCTTCTTTGTTTCTTTCATTTTTGAAACATAAGGACCTGGATACCAATTTATTATGGATAATTTGTTAATAAAACATATTAAAAAAGCATTTTTTTAAAAAATTTTTATTTTTTTAATTTAAAATTCTCAATCCCACTTTCGTTTTTGCACATGGGTAGCTGCATAAACATAAGCTTAGTCCTATGAAGTCTTAAAGGACAAAATGTGACACGCAAAATCTTTTCCACTTTGAGTTATATATATATATATATATATATATATATATAGTATATATAAAGTTTACTAAATCAGAGAAATGAATTAGCCATTTTTGCAGTAAGTGCCATAAATATTATTTAAATAATATTTAAATATAAAAGTTTAAAAATCGTAATATACATATACTTGATATGGAAAAATAATTTTACTTACTATAAGTAATTCTAATACATTTCCTTCTATTATAAAGTAATATAGTCTATTAAAATAACAATGAAAATATTTTAAAGTTGTAATTAAAATTGTAGTTAAATAAAAATGAATTCTAACCTAAACTTCTTTTACTTGGTACTACATGCACTCAAAAAAGAATCCAATAAAACACCTACAGTAAAATAAAATTAATATGAAATGCCAGATGTAAGCTTTTGAATGACCCATGTCCTTTGTACTTACATGAGAAACAATATATTACTAGGTTTATATAAAAAAATAAAAGTTTACTAAATCAGTGAAATTAAGTAACTATTTTTGCCGTCATTGTCATAAATTTTACTTGAATAATATTTAAATACATAAAAAAAAAAAAATTTTGTAACCTAATATACATACTTATACTTGTAAAAATAATTCTACATACTATAAGGGATTCTAATACATTTAATTGTTCTTAAAAAAATATAGTATAATAAAAATTAAAATATTTCAAATCGTAGTTAAATAAAACGTATTATAATCTAAACACCCCCAAAGATCTTTAAATATACAAATAGAAAAAAATGCCGTAAGAATTTTTGCCGTTAACAATAAATTTAAAAAAAAATCCAAATGACATGCATTCAACAGATGTCAGATTTCATTGAAAAATACATCCCTACCCCCTACCAAAATGTAACTAACAATGGATACAATAATACAGACATAATGAACACCCAGACACCCCTTGTCCAGTTGAAGTAGATTTATCTGTAACCTTGGAAACGTGAATTATGGTTTTAGCTGTGTCGTTAAAACCCAGTAATTTTAAAAGTTACTCCAAAATTCGCTTGAGGATGAAATGGAACTAATGTCTTTAATTTAATTACAAAATTAAATTCGTAGCTTTTAGGTTCCATTTTTGAAACATGGTTAGAACTGTGTAGCGAAAAAAAAAACATATTTTAAATAAATCAATTTATAATATTAATGCTCTGTAAATTTATATTGAGCACTATTTTGTAAAAATAAAAATATCTATAAGAACACTGGATTATATATCTTACTGTTCTTTTTTTTTTTATTTATATATATATATATATATATATATATATATATATATATATATATATATATATATATATGTGTGTGTATGTGTAAATAATGGACAAAGAAAGTAATGGAAATAAATGTTCCCCACTTTCCTTTCTCTCTTTCAACTGAAATTAAATCTGTGATTATTCCTACATAAAGATTGCCTAATTCTGGAGAATCTCTGTTACCTTAACTAAACCAAAAGAAACAATAACCAATTCATCTACATATTCAAAATGATTTTCGTTTATAGATATTAGTTTTGATACAATGATTCAGATTTTCTTTATTTTCTGAAATCTTTATCAATTTATGTCTTTCCTTTTTTTCCTTCAGTTTCCCGGTCATCATCAGCAACTTCACTACCCAAGCTGTCAACATCTCATTCTTATTCCCACTCACTACCCACTTCGAACATGCCTACCGGGGACATGTCACAGTCTCCCACAAATCAGCCCCAAGCTTCAAATGGAGGCGGAAACACTTCTTCCTCAGCTGCAAGCACACCACAGACTGAACCTAAGACTGGATTCTTTTCACGGATATTTGGCAGTAAGCAGCAAATTTCTGCCCCTGATTACAATAGCCAAGCAGGTGAGGCTATCTTACTCTGTTCTATAAAACAAGGAGAGAGAGACACACACACATTTATCTATCTGTCAATCATATATATATATATATATATATATATATATATATATAAATTGATATAGAGTTGTCTAATTGCTATTGACCACACGTTTCCTATTTTAATTTACTGTGAAAAGGAAGAAATAAGGTTTATATATATAATAGTGATTGAATGACAACTGAAAAAAATTCAGAAATATTGATGAAAAATAAAATTAATTAAGCTTAATCAAATAAATCACTACAGAAAACTACTATAAATTATAGAACAGTATGGTGTAATTTAAAATATGTAATCAGTGGTGATTCCAGTTGTCAGGCTAATTGGGTCAAGCCAGAGTAGTTTAAATGTTTGTTTTTTTTTGTTTTTTTTTTTCAAAGCAACAAAAATCTCTGAAAATATCATCTGTTCTTGACTTCAGTAGGACCCAAAGTCCTGACACAAAGATATCCAGAATAAAATAATCTTAAATTGTTTTAATTTATTGCTTTTTATATTTTGGTTTTAACTTGATACTCTAAAATGTTAACTTAAATCAATTTTGCTAAAAATGTTAATAAGAGTGTTACCTGAAGAAAAGAAAAAAAATTAATGTGGTTAACAATTAAGGAAAGCGAATACAGGGCCCAAAAATTCTAGCCTGATAAAAGACAAAAGGTAATACTTCTAATAGCATCAGTCAATTGAATAGATTTCTAGCTGAACACTCAAAAATAATCTTGAAAAATCTCAAATGATTTTAATTCTTTTTTTTTCAAATGAATATCTTTTATTTTAACTTGGCTTTAAATTCATTTTACTGTTTATTATAATGTTAAAAAAAAAAAAATATGAGAAAGTTGGACTGAAAAAAAACTGCCTTAGTGGGGGAGGGGATCTTTAATGGCTTGTAATGTAATGTGTATAATCTAATGAGGTCGGACATGACTGTCACTTGGTGTATTTGAGTGGGAGATCAGCCTTTGAGTAAGAATCAGCGCATTCTATTCACATCGTTTTCAAAAGGGGAGATCATGATTTTTTTTCTCAGAAGTAACCCACCCTTGTGATAGGTCTGAGTCAAAGTAAGACTGATGATCTACAGTCATCACTGATATAGGATTCCTTGTAAGTGAATTTCATCAAAGTTTATATTTTTGGCATTTTTTTTCCAGGCTAATTATTAAAATATATTTTTCCTTCAGAAAATAAAAAAAATATTAATAATACTTAAAAGAAAAAAAAGTGTATGGCAAATATAGCTAAAATTTACAAATTAATTATGGGAAGATTTAAATAAAATGTTTGTTACATTTTCTTTAATATCAGCTAATTATATCACTTTTTTTTCTCGTTTCAATAGTTGTATATCTAAGGTGTAAATAGATGCTAAATTAGTTGATTATGTTAGATCAGAATTTATTTTTATCATTCCATAAAAATATCTTGTCATCTTGATGAGATTGGAATTTGTTTTTCATAGTTTGAAGGTTCAATTCCCTCTGAAACATGAGCTCTACTTTGGTAATTGCTTGATACACTCTAACCTTAATTATCTTCATTTATAGCACAAAATCGCCATTTCTCCAGCTTTGTCACAATATTTTCTTCAGATTTTCAAATCATGAATTCAGAATAATGTTGAGCTATAAAAGAAGATAAATCTAAACTGAAAAATATTTAACAAAAATATTTTTGTATAAAATAGAAATCGGTAGTAATTATCTTCATGTGTAAGTTTCACTTAGTCTTTATTTTTTTATTAGAGTAGTACTTATTGAAAATATTTGCAAGGTCTTGAAAAGAAAATGATAAATTTTAGTGATATTCTATAGTATTACTTATATATCTTTTGTGGATGTGTACGTAGTATAATTTCAAATTTTAGCTGAGGTTGTATGCACTTTCACACAAATATCCTGGGAAAGGTCTGAATCCATCTCTTCTCTTCTATTTACTTCAGCTCAGTGGGGTAAATAGCAGAGCAAATTGGGCCTCCAGTCTTGGTTGGCAACTAGCCTAGGAGAAGGACAACTCTCAATTTAAATCTGGTTGGGCATAGGGCTAGTAACTTAAAAGGAGGCCAACTGCAATTGAGATCATAGTCATTGTGAAATTCATGATCCTTTCCTCAGCTGAATAGTATGTGCTGCATACGTTTTTTAAATTCCAAGTTGTCCTTCTCCTAGGCTGGTTGCCAACTAAGGTTGAAAATCCCAGTCTATTCTACTATTTACACTATAGCTGTGGGGAGAGGTGGATTTCTACCTTTCCCAAGGGTATTTGTGTAGATATGAATGTAACAAAATTGACTGGAATTTGAACTCCACTCCACAAAAAATTACAGAAACCATATCAACATTGCCTATCATGTTGAGACTGTGGTCATTATTTTTCTCAAAGGTATCTACTGGCTTAACATATTTATTTTAGGAGTGTACAAAAGTTTTCAGCACTTTTTTTTTCTTTTTTGAATACACAGCTAAAACCTGGTTTTTGCTGAAAACTTTTACGCACACCTTGTATTTATGTTGCATCATATTAGTACGGATAAAGTTGCTAGATTACCAATTATTTTGAGCTTAGTAAGAATTGAATATTTACATTTTTAAATATATATTATGCCAATACAATTTATAAGTGAAATCCTCTGAATATTAATTAAATCTTATCTACTGATATTTTGAATCCATTTGCTCTTTAACTTTATTGAAACAAAACAAATTTTTATTTAATTAAAAAAAAAATGTATTTGATAAAATCTGTTCTTGATTAATTAAAATTCAAATTGTGTTGACTCTCTCTACCTTTTATTCATTTGCACCTGAGAAGTAATTTAATATGCAAATAAGGCAGAATATTCCTTTTAAATATGTGGATTAGTTGATTATATGATCAAAACTAATTTTATTTCTTTGGATGTGAAATCCAAATGAATTTGAATTGAAACACAAAGATCTTTGTTTTTACATGAAATGAAATCTTCTCAGGTGCAATAAATTCCTGTTTCAGATAAAGTCTTTTTGTTGGTAATTTTTCTTTTATAAAATGCATGATTTCTTACATATTGGATGATTAGTGCCTATACTATTCTCTGTAGTGTTCATGATTCTCCCCTTCTTCTTCCTTTTGATTTTCCTTGTGATGATTGGTTTTGGTGTGGCCTTTATCTTCATCTTTCTCACCTTAGTTGCTGGCATATAAGACATCTTTTTGTTTCTGAAAACAATAGATGTAATAGATTTCATTTGTGTGTAATATATTGACAAAACTGGCCAAGAGATAGAAATTAACTAAAATTAATTCTTTGAAACATTTTTCCTTTCTTCTTCATTGTGTATCTTTTTGTAGCACCAATATAAATAACATTTCTTTATAAACATTTCTTATATCATTTCTTTTGGTGTTATTTTAAACATGTCATAAACTTAAGTGAAAAATGAATTCAGAATGATTCATGAAAATCCTCACAAAGTTTTTAACTACCACTGAGACACTTCTATCCTCTGGTGGCAGAGCCCAAAAAGAAATTATATTAAAAATGATTTCAATATATATATATATATATATATATATATATATATATATATATATATATATATATATATATATATATATATATATACACACACACACACACACTGAGTTTCACTGACAAAGTACTACGATTAAGCTTTTTATTTAATTTTTCTTGTGTTTATACAAGTGTTTTCTTTTCTGGGCACAAAGTGTGAAAAAAAACTGTTCAAAAGTGCATATCTGAGCACTTTAGCTATTTTAGCCATTATCAAGGATGATTTTTATTTTTAGCTGGATGTGTAGGTTTTTTTTTTTTTATGCATGTATCTGAAGTTATAGGAATGTTTTTTATTTTACAAACATTGATAGTTAATGTTATTGAGTGTTGGCTTTACCTTTTATATTATTAGTGCTTTCATTCTTTTAATTTTTTTTTTTTTTTTTTAACTTGTATTTTCTACTAAGAGAAAGCACCAGTATTAAAAAAAAGAAAAGCCAACACTCAATAATATTAACAATGAACATGGTCATAACATTCTGTGTTTGGAAAATAAAACATTCCTATAACTTCAGATACATACACAAAAAAAAAACAAAAAAAACACACATTCAGTTAAAAATAAAAAGTAAAACTCATCCATGATAATGGCTAAAAGAATAGGTGAAAGTGCTTTTGGCCAGTTTTTACACCCTTTGTATCAAAAAAAAAGAAAACACTTTTACGAACACAAAAAAAATTAAATAAAAAGCTTAATCTTTTGCCTTGTTAGTCGTCTTTAACGAAACTTGTTTAAAAGAGGGATTGCTGCCCAAATACACAATATATATATATGTGTGTGTGTGTGTGTGTGTGTATTTTGGCAGCATATTTTCATTAAGACGGGTTTTGGTAAATAATTTAAACATGTTCTGTCTACTTATTCTCAATATGATTCTTTCATATTTGTGGATAAGCTTTTTTGTGCGGTTATCAAGATGAGAGGAAAAAACTGTGTTGGCTCATATTGTATTTATTCCAAGTACTTTCAACATAGCATAATGTCATCATTAGGGTATTGTTAATTATAGAGTAAGTATATAGTGTTCATGGTTGTGAAGAGCAAAAATTGTCGTGGTCATCCGAAAATTACCATTTTTTTACATGTGGCATCAGAAACGCTGCGTCATGTCTTGAGTGACAGACAACATTTAAAGGGAGGTAACTAGGTATGCTGTGGAAAAATTCTGGACTTTAGTTGCTCGATAAAGGAAAAATTATTAATGACAATCACTAACATTTAAAGACTACCTATTGTACACATTTTAAAATGTTTGTGGAGTATTTGTAATTAATTTTATTGGGGTTTGGTTTTAATTTTTGATATAAATAGCTTCAAGAATTTTTAGTTTGTGTTTATGCTTTTCGTAGAAAATTATGGAGGTATTTTCGATGAGGATTTTTTTGAATTGCGAGTGAGGACAGGTATGTTGTTGTAAATGTTTAGAAATATTGGACGTGTTATTCAGGTGAAAACAGCCTACGTGAAAGTGTTGTCGTGTGTCCAACAGATATTATTTTTATCTTTGGAGAATCAATCTCACAGAGGGCATTTAAATTTATAAACGATGTTGTTTTTTTTTTTTTTTTTTTGCAACATAAAAGTGACCAGGGAGGAATCATTACGAATTATTTTATTAGATATAGTAGATTTAGTTTAGTATATAATAAGTTTTATTTTTTTTTACTAGGGTCTGTGCTGGATGTATTAGTTTTTATTAGGTTTTTAGGATATTTTCATCTTGTTTATAATTAGTATGTATCTGGTTATGATATAAAAGGTTGATATATTTAGAGTTAGTTGGAGGGGTATTATGTTCTATGTTTTGTATAGAGGTCTCTGATGGAGCATCTTATTTTCTTGTCAATGATGTACTTTGGGAAGTTATTATTGATGAGTTTTTATATTAAGTTTAATGTAGAAGATCTGTTTTGTAGATGAATTGATTTTTGCACAGTTTATTAGGTTTTTTATAATAGCTATTTTATAGTAATTTGGGCATTTGGTTTTATAGTTAAGAGTACAGGAATTTATGCTGGTAGGTTTTTTTTATATGGGAAGATGGTGAATTTATTATTATTGGTGTTAATCAGTATATTGAGAAAGGGAATTTTGTTATTAGTTTTAAGTTTAAATGTAAACTTAAGGATGAAGTTGTCTTGGAACTGTTTTTGGAGTTTACATTTTTTTCCTTATTTTTGACTAATAAAAGGATATCATCTACGTATCTAAGGTAGAGGGAGGGATTTTTAAAATTGCTAAAAATGTTATTTTTTGAAGTTGCTGAAGGTTGCACTGAGAGCTGAAACCATGGCGATGCCATTGCAATATATATATATATATATATATATATATATATATATATATTGTGTGTATTTAGGCAGCATCTTTTCATTCATACACTTTTCATTAAATAATATAGACAAGTGTTGTCTATTTCTTTTATGTAAACTCTTTTCATAACGTCTAATAAGTTTAATAACAGTATAATTGAACGAAGAAAGAAATTCACAATATTGATCCATTTTTTTTTTTTTTTTTTTTTTAATACAATCTAAGCTTTCGGCTTACATAAGCCATTATCAAAGATGTCAATTACAACATATTAAACAATATACGGACAAGACAGTGATGACAGTCTGTGAATGTTTACATAGATGATTTCTAAGCTACGATATATATATATATATATGTTATGATCATAGAATGGGACTTCGGTAGTGCAGGTTAGCAGTAGTTTTTAGTAATATATTAGGCCTAATTTTAAGTGGCAGTATAGATGGATTAAGGTATGTGTTATTTATAATGATCTCAATAGTTTAATGAAGAGGGACATTAGTAAATAGGTTTTCAACATCAAGTGAGACTGTGGTTTCATTGCTAGTTTTTTTTTTCATTTTTTTTTTAGAAATTGGATTGCTTCAAATGAGTCTACACAGTATTTTTCTCTTGTCTTTTAATAACCGCACAAAAAAACTTATCCATGAATATGAAAGTATCCTGTCAAGAATAAGTAGACAGAAGATGTCTAAATTATTTAACAAAACCTGTCTTGAGATTATATATATGTATGTGTTTGTGTACGCCAATCAAAAATGTTTTTATATGTAAAATTGGTATAAGTTTAAGAAAAATGTTATCTATATTTGCTGTAAATGCCAGTAAATTTGGTAATTTATTCAATAAATCTATTACTTGAAGTTTTGAATATTTAAATTTGTAATTTTTTTTTTTCTTTTGCATGTTAGTAAATGAAATTTCAATGCATGAAAATGGTACGCCGCTGCGTGATAAGCATAGAAATTATTTTCTTTATAAAATATTTATTTGCCTTCATAAGAGGGGGTGCTGGAAAGTTCACAGCCCAATCCACTTCCTAAAATGAGTATTTTGATCATTAAACTATTTACTTAAACTACTTTCTTTTCTTTTTTCTTTTTTTTTTTTCTTTTTCTTTTTTTTTTTTTCTTTTTTTTTCTTTTTTTTTTTTTTTTTTTTTTTTTGGCAAGATTAGAAAATAAACAAAAAAAAATGTCAAGTGTGTTGAACTGCAGGTTAAATATTTAAACTGGTATGTTTTCTGGTTTTAAGTCATTCTTCTTATTTGGGACATGAACCTTTTCAGCATCCCTTTGATATAAGTACCATTTAGTTATTGTTTTTGTTTATATTTGAATTTTTTAAACATTATATTTAAACTTTTCTGTGAATTGCCTTTACCTGGCATTATTTACCTAAGTTTCAAATTCTTTATAGTTTAGAAAAGAAACTATCAAAAATATAGCAATGCTTCTTATTTTATTTTTTTTACTAAAATTGCTACTTGTTTTTAATGTTATTATATGTATATTTTGCTGTATTGTTAATAAGTAATCAGAATCTTACTTTTGGTTTCACTTTAATATTTATTGTATGTATTAGGTGTGTGCAAATATATCGGCGCCTATTGGAAATTTTTTTTTTCTTTTTTAAAGACTGGATATTTTTGCATATACTGATTAGTAAATTTATAATTTAATTCACAATATTAATATTTAAGCTTTAATGCATTTGATATTTGAATTGATATTTCTTGTGTTCATAATGAAATCAAAATTTAATTTAGCAATTATTGCATTAAATTTTTACATTTTTATTTTTAAATTTTTTGTTTTAAAAAAAATTTCATATTTAAAATTGTTTTATTTAAGAATATCATTTGTGATTAATTTCTTTGTTTTAATTCTATTAATTTATTTTTATTTATCATTATTTAAGATCTTTTAAAATTTTTATCCTAAACCATATGTTAAAAAGTTGAGTGTCTTTTAGTTTTCTTTTCTTTTTTTAATTGAACTTTTATAACTTTCAAATTTTGTATTATTTATTTAGAAATGAAACTTTTAAAATGTATTATTCAATCTTAAAATTCTTCTTGCATTTCCTTATTCACAGATGGTGGAATTGAGATTGCTCAAATTGCCGTGGAGCCTAAAACTGTGAAAAGTGTTGAAGAATTTATTCCAGATGGTGAAGAATTGGATAGCAACTTTTTGGATGATACAAAAGACCATCGTATGAATAACACGGTCAACACTATAGGAAAAGAGAAAGAGAGTGACAGGTAGGTGGGGAGATATTGTCTTAGGCTTTCGGACAAGAGAACCTGTATGTCTGCTAATTATTTGCATAAAAGATAGAAAAAATTCATGTTAATATTCCCTTAGGTTAAAAAAAAAAAGGTAAACAAACAATATTTAATAGTTTATAAACTCATTATTTCTATTGATTCAATCCAAAAACTGACACTTGAAAATTTCACCTATTATAAATAAATCAGTTTTAATTGGTTGTGGAATGGTTCTTTTTATTTAGGTACTCACACTAATTCACGATACCTAAGGTATAAATGAATTTTAAAAAATGAAAAAAATGTTTTCTTGAACTTTCATTTTCGCTTTAATTAAAAGCTAAAGGATTAAGTTTACTATTTCCCGTAAGCAAAATTTTCTGTATTTTAAACAAATTATATTGATTGGAATTGATTTACATTTTTTTTTTTTTTTTTTTTATTATGCTGATTAGCTGATTTTAGTCATCTTTCATTGCAATGTAATTCTTTTTATTAAATCTTCCAAAAATAAAAAAATATTTTTCTGAAACTTTATTTAAGGAATATTAGCTGATTTAAAGTATAATTAATCTGATTTGAAACAAATATTATTTACTTTAAGTTTAAAATAAGACATAAATGCATTTTTAAACCAAACAGTAGCTGTGTTAAGTACTCAGTAATCTTTAAAATGTTGGAAAATATTCTCCATAATTTAATTTTAGTAATGTTGATTTTAAATTTACTATAGTCATCACTCTTATTTTTTGATAATGCCATGTAAATTTAAAAAAAATAATTTCATTCATTTGTGAATAAGTCCTGACAGTTTCATTAAAATCTGACAATTTGATTTTTGCAAAAGTTTCCGGATCAATACTCATAGTAATCTTTGGTTCATCGCTGATGCAAAAAAAAAAAAATTTTTAACAAAAATTTTGAATGTGCTTGAAAGGATTAAAATATTTAATAAAATATTAAAAAATTACATTGAATTAGTCTTACCTCTTAATAATAACTAACATTTTTACAATAAAACCTATTTTTAATAAAGTTTGGGGCCTTTTTTCATCAAAAACATGAAGATACCTATTTTTATATATGCTACCACGCTGATCTATTTTTAGCCCCACAGGTCCAATTGGTTTTCTTGTTTCTATGAGGAGGTGCTGAAACATTCTTCTCTCAACCAAAAGAGGTCTAAAAACAAAAAAAATAACTTTATGATGTATTTGGTCAGATTTTAGGAAAGTGGGTTGAGCTGATAACTTTTCAGCACCTGAACTCTTGTTCACTGACACTTTATTTATTTAATCAGATGAAGTTGATATTTAAGGCTGAAACTGGGGGGGTTCAATAATTTTATTTAACATTTTATTTTTCATATTTAAGAATGAAATATAAATTTACTAGCAGTAGAGCCCAGCGTTGCCCGGGGATGTAACAGTTGAGTAAGAGATAGATCAAGTATCGACCATCATAAAGACTGAAAAATAAAATTGACAAAGATTATTGTTTAAGGTTGACGGACACGCATATCTTAATTTGTTTTTGTTTTTTTTTACGAATTAGTCAAACCCAAACTCAAACAAAAGCATTGTTTTCAATTGTTATGAGTCTATTGATTGAATAGAATTTTATTATAAACAATTGTCTTGTAAATGGAATTTTTAAAGCATTCTGAATGTAAAAATAAAGAAAAAAGTGTGCAAGACAATAAGAAACACTACCTACAAAAAAAAAAAGTGAAGTTTTGTTGAAATCGGTTGAAAAATGTAGGAAATCCGATCCCATATATAAATGAACACACACACAAACAACCTGGGTTTTATAATAAGTATAACTTGATATCAGTTGTCCCCTTTTTATTTTGGCGACAGAATCATGTTTTATCGTATTTTCAAATTGATTTTGTGCAAAAACAATTGTGTTTTTCCAATTTTTGGCGCTGTCAGAACCACCGCAAGGTAATTTTACGCAGTCCTGTGAAGTTTTGTTGAAATCAGTTGAAAAATGTAGGAAAACCGATCCAATATATAAATGTACAGACACCCACACACACAATCTGCATTTTATAATAAGTAAGATAATTGGAGTTTCAAGAATATATTTTCAATAATACTGCATTTGTTTTGATAAAAAAAAAAAAATGATGCAAATAATTTTACCATTATGTAAATAAAAAAAAAAAAAAATAATATGAATATTAGATTGACTTACCTTCATATCATCCAATATGGATTGGTGTTCATTAGCAAAAGATTACATTGTATTTTAACCTGATATACTTCTGTACTGGTTGTATTTCTAGTGATAGCATACATTAGCCTTAGAATATATTTAATTAATAGTACTAAATCGTGGTTATTGTTAGACTGGTGTGCTGGTGTCCATAAAAAATATGGCCTATTGCTAGAGTTGAATGGAAGAGCCAAAATTATGACGATGTAAGCTTATGGTGGTGGGCAGCAAATTAAGAAAAACAGCAGTTGTTTTAAATTAGGCAGTAATTTTTGTCTCTATTTCTCAAATGATCCATGAAAACCCAATCTTTGTTTTTTTTGTTTGTTTTTTTTGTTTGTTTTTTTTGTTTTTTTTTTTTTTTTTTTTTTTTTTTTTTGTTTTTGAATTTTGTATAGGGCCAGGCTGCTAGCCCACCCAAGAGATACTGTTTTTATAGGGCTAAAACATTTCAATTCCCCGTTTTTGACAAAGCTGTAGGAGGAACTGGAAGTGAATACAAAACTGTATCAGCCAGAGTTTGAACTCTGCTTACTTGCTCCATTGTATATACTGTTAAATGTTTTGATAAAAGCTGGAGAGGAATTTATCAATTATTTAATTTTTTTTAAATTTTTTTTTTTTTTATCATTTCACCCCAAGCAAGGTGATAATGCCACTAACACACAATAGGTTACTGGGAGTTGAAAGAAAAGACTTTAGTGAAGAGACAGGACAATAAAAGAACATAATTCAGGAAGACAGGAGATGTCAATTGGCATTGCATTTAAATTTTCAGAGAAGCAACAAACCAAAAGAGTTCTACAGGCAAGAAGTGTGAGAAAGAAATTATTAGAATGTAACTTTTGGTTACATCTAGCTAGTTTTACAGCAAAATTGTGAGACCTAGTTGCCAATCAAGTAGTATGCTTAAATTCACACAGTTGAGGAAAGCTCATCAGAACAATTGCCATGAAAATATTTTTAGAAAAGGCAGAGGGGAAGTCATGTCAAAGTGGTGGGAAAGTGACTGAAATTGAGCCTTTGCTTTCTTCTAAAATCTATTCTAAATAGATCCAATTTTATAAACATTCTAATTTTCTTGTCATTAGATGTGAACAGGCTGATGTTGATGTAGCCGTGTTAACTGACAGCTGAGATAAATGTTGGCCGTACGTTTCTTCATCTGATCGAGTCAGCTTCTACTTGATCTTTACTAAACTGAAGTTAGTACAATACAAAATCAACAGTAGGTAGGAAGATTGTTTTACCAGTCTTCCACATAGAGAGATATTGTCTGCTTGCTTTGAAATTCAGCATTTGAAATATTAGCTTCTTACCTGAGAATAGAAATTGATATGCCACTAAACAAAATCAACTTCATCAATCTTACCTGAGTTTGAACACCAACCACTGACGCTAATAGGAAATATACAATTACAGCAGGCTTTGAGTTCTAGTATTTTTAATATTTATTTGAAAGACGATCAGACCATAGTATCTGTACACTCATTGAAAAGTCCTTCCTTTATAAACTGCAACAAATGTCTCTGTCTCTTCTTGTAATGAGTGCAAGCATGTCCTCAAAGAAGCAAAGCTACTGTTTGTTGATAGAATGAAACAACATCTCTGCATCTCACGAGTTTGGTTCTAGAGATTATTGGCGGCACTGCAAGAGTGTGTTGAACAACAGCAAATCCTCAATCCCTCCCCTATTCAATCAATTCAAAGTCCTGACATCTACAGCACATAGACATCCTGGGTATGACGATAAACTGCATCCGTCACCTAGGTGGGTTATGGACTACATCCCACAGCAAGGCCTCTGATAATGTTTTTGAAAAAATATTACCAGCTACATTTTTTTTTTTTGTTTTTTTTTTTTTTTTAAAGAATAGTGTTGCCGGCTATGTTTTAAAAAAAAAATATTATCAGCTATACGTTTTTGAAAAAAAAAAAATAATATCACCAGCTATACGTTTTTGAAAAAAAAAATATCACCAGCTATACATTTTTGAGAAAAAAAAAAATTAACAGAAATAAATTTTTGACAAAACAAAAAATATTACCAGGAAAAAAAAAAGTTGTTGGCATTAAATGACCCATTTGAGGTTGATATTCCATAAACCAAACCAACAGCACATAAAGTTGTATGCTTTGCTCAGAAATTCTTTTCCAACTTGACACTCAACTCATTTGGAGTACCCACACCTGATTTTCTCCCTTAGAACTGAGGCTCTACTGAGTGATATGCGCATAACCCCATAACTGGTCTCAAACATCATTTCTAAATTAGACTCCCATCAGAAGAGTGGAGGTGACAGAATCCCCGGCCTCGTCCTAAAGAAACGTTCTCCCGAGCTGGCTCCAGTTCTCTCCAAACATTACAACTATTGCATTGCTGCTTCTTAGCTTGTTGGAAGTCCTCCTCTATAGTCCCTGTTTTTAAGGACTCTAGAGAACCTTTTGACCCCTCTAACCATTGCCCTATTAGTCTTCTACCACTTTTCAGCAAAGTATTCAAGGCTTTAATCATTTCTCTCACACCCTACTCTCTGACAAACAATATAGATTCCGTTTTGCTTGGCCTACCTCTGACATGCTTATGGCCATCACTGAATATGTATATTAAGCTCTTGATAATAACGGCGAAGTTTGAGCTGTGGCTTCTAGATATCTCAAAGATGTTTGATAGGATTTGGCATGCTGGTCTTCTACACAAGTTTCAGGGCTACAGGATGATTGATTTAATCCAATTGTTTCTATCAAATCGTGAAATGAAGGTCATTCTG